TTCTGGTTGATCATCCACTTCTGGACTCTAGTCCTGTTCCAGAACCTTAGTGTTGCATGCAAATCCGTTTTACAGATTTGACTCATCTGTATGCAGACTGTTGGTTCCTTGCCTCTGAGGTAGATGTACTCTAACTTCGAAGGAAGCTCCCAATTAGTCGACTCTTACGACAAGCTTTTATGTAGATAGTCTATTCTTGTTTTCTCTACAATGGAGCCTTGGAATCCACATGAGTGATTGTGATCATGTGAAGTTGACAAGGTTTACTTTTTGTTGTTTGGATATCTTTTCCAAACAGTTATTGTATTATTTTAATGTTTTTTTTAAATCAAAAAATATACTCACAGTATGTATGCATCTACAGCAGTGGCTCTCAACCTATCTAATGCTGCGACCCTTTAATACAGTTCCTCATGTTGTGGCGCGCCCCCCCCCCCCCCCCCCCCCCCCCCCCCCCCCCCCCCCCCCCCCCCCCAACCCTACAATTATTGTTGTTACTACTTCATAACTTCAATGAATATGTGTTTTCCTACTATAAAAGGGTCGCGACTCATAGGTTGAGAACCGCTGATCTAGAGCTTGAGACAGTTTGATGAATACATATGCAGCAAAACAACCAGTGAGACTAGAACATGACTCTTTGTTCAAGATATAAATAACAACTGTAACACCCAGAGATACACTGCTAACTTCCTGTCATTGACTGGTCAAGATGGCAGCAGTCTGGAGACACTGATCAATACAGTTTTCCCCATGTGGGATACAATTGTTCGTTACTTGAAGCCCCATCCTTGGCTTTTGCCTGGAGGTCCTAAATATAGCCGGACTATAAATATGGCTTGAGCGGCTTAAAGGGGTTTCAGGGACCTCTTCACAGGTGATCCTCATCCGCATGATGGCACTTTGTGTCACCGGGTGTTTATCGCTTGTGTGATGTTTTAGTGGGGTACAAAAAGAGAGAGAAGAGAGATACATTGATCAAGGTGAATTAACTCTAACCAATTCTGCCCCAGTCAAGTCTGACATTAATCATAATTTTTTTTTTTTTTTACTGTTGCCTCTAAAACTGCAGCCTGAAAGACTGACACTCAGTGACTCAAGGAGTTGTCGTTATACAGATGTGAATCCCACAGGAACAAATCCCAGAAACCCATTCAACCATTTAATGGTTATATAGGGGCATCCTGCAGTGACAAAGTTACCTGCTGTTCAATGTTAATTCCCTGTTACTTGTAACCCTTTCTGAGCTCACACTTCTTTTCCCCCCTTTCTGTGTTAAAATATACTTCATTTTCACGTGAATTTATCAAAGCTAGTTACTGTATTAACTACTTCTGAAACAGTTACTGCAGACTGAGACAGAGTTACAGGAGGTTTTTCAAGTGACAGCTGACAGTACACAAGTTAAGCAAATGTGTAATAACCTAACAATCTTTAGTTTGCTGCTCCCTTCCTCGCTACCCTTTTCCACACACACACATACTTTTTTCTTCAAAACTGAATTTGGCTCCTAGGCTGACCCAACCTAAAACGGGTATCTAGAAAATCTTGGGAAATAAACGCGGCCAGTGTGATGATGACCACAGCTCCCACCAAGTGCCCACTGATTTCTACAAATATTAGTCTAGCACCTATGCCTGATATGCCCAAGGTATGGAAGTAGTGACACAGTGTCTCCATGCACACATTAGTAGTGACACAGTGTCTCCATGCACACAACAGTAGTGACACAGTGTCTCCATGCACACATTAGTAGTGACACAGTGTCTCCATGCACACAACAGTAGTGACACAGTGAATATTTTGACAGTTAAAGACACAGGAAAAATAGCATTCATTCATTATCAAACAAGTTCTTGACTTCTGTAGAACTATCCAACTTGATAGACTTGATCCTAACTTATTACTTCATACATCTTCCGTGACCTCTGTAGATGAACTGTCCCACTTGATAGACTTGATCCTAACTTATCACTTCATACATCTCCAATGACCTCTGCAGAAGAACTATCCCCCCGATAGACTTTATCCTAACATATCACTTCATACACCTCCCATTACATACCTTCACATACCTCCCGTGAACTCTGCAGATGAACTGTGCCACTTGATAGACTTATCCTAACATATCACTTCACATACCTCCTGTGACCTCTGTAGATGAACTGCCCCACCTGATAGACTTATCCTAACATATCACTTCACATACCTCCTGTGACCTCTGTAGATAAACTGCCCCACCTGATAGACTTATCCTATCACTTCACATACCTCCCGTCACCTCTGTAGATGAACTGCCCCACCTGATAGACTTATCCTATCACTTCACATACCTCCTGTGACCTCTGTAGACAAACTGCCCCACCTGATAGACTTATCCTATCACTTCACATACCTCCTGTGACCTGTGTAGATGAACTGCCCCACCTGATAGACTTATCCTAACATATTACTTCACATACCTCCCGTCACCTGTGTAGATGAACTGCCCCACCTGATAGACTTATCCTAACATATCACTTCACATACCTCCCATCACCTCTGTAGATGAACTGCCCCACCTGATAGACTTATCCTAACATATTACTTCACATACCTCCTGTCACCTCTGTAGATGAACTGCCCCACCTGATAGACTTGATCCTATTATATCACTTCTTACACCTCCATAACCAGTTCCATGGTCACCCACAATAAGCTTTGCAAATTTTCAGTACTATTTTCAGCAATATTTTTTAATGGATATGATGCCTGTATGCATTGTCGACTAAGAATTATCTCTTTGTCCAAGTGTATAACAGTGAATCCTAAATCATTCTGTAAATAACATGTCAAGTAAAGGACCCGTTTGGAGGCTAGTAGCACATCAGGCAAAGGATGTTAGATTTTTAAAAAATTGTATAGACCAATCAACACTCTAAGGGTAATTTAGAACCAGTAGCTGATCTATTAACAGTTGCATTAAATCTTCAAAAAACATGTTTTTATATATATATATACAGGCTTAATTTTAATAATTAAGGAAAATGTTCAATCACAGCAACATTTAAAAAAACATGTAATGTAAACAAATTACACTGAAAAACTCAGCTTACAGTCAGACTTCAGTAAAACAGAACATGAAATACAGATATTAAATTTCACTCAAAACCTCTAGTTACACGACAGTAACACAGAACTTGGAATAAAAATTATAAATCACACTCAAAAAAACTCAACGTACAGTAGATTACAGCAACATAGGACATGAAATAAACATACTCAACAACTCTGAGTTAGACTTCAGTAATAAAAGACGGTCTGCTACATGTCTGACTAGTGATGAAACAATTCTGCAAGCCTGGGTCACACAGTACCTGACCATGAAGAAGCAACCTGGTAAACTTGCTAATATTTACATTCACTGTATCTTGTAATGTCGGCTCTGTGGCTAAGTTGATACGAACGCTTCGTAATGCCAGGATGCCGGGTTTGATCCCAGCCTCGTGTTGTTTTCGATAGTGGTATCAAGAAAGCCGACCGTCCAAAAAGCAATGGCAAACTACTGGACGTAAATTTGCCTAGAAAAACCACACAACGGCCAGGGGCTGCTTGGGTTGGTTCTGCAACGTCCTGTAAAGGATACGCAACTAACCTTGTATCCTGTAATGCAATCCTGGTAGCTTCTTGAGGTGTTTTCCTTCTGTTATCTGGTGGAAGCCTTTTAGCTTCCATGATCTATGCTTTTCAGTTAGCAAGTGCAGATGTTGGAGATTCTTTGGGGTCACGGGTGGAGCTATGGAGTTTACTGCTTTGTGTGATACTCTCGACCCTGAGACTAAGCCATAGGAGATCAAATTCAGAACAATTGCTCCTCTCACCACTACCTGAGCCCGTTGACAGCCAAAAATCATCTTTTGTTTTGTTTTAACTCTCTTGTTTGTCTCACATGTTTACACCCTTGATCAAGCTTGCAGAATGTAATAAAAACATTCATTTATGTTGAGAACTCATTAATGCTTTCACACTTGTCTTAAACTATAACATACACGATAAAATATAACCACACACGTATATGAAAAACTCCCCATAAAAAAAAAATAAAAAAAAAAGATTAGTGATTTTTTAAATAGTATTTTATATTTAAAATATATAAATATGCTGTTTGATCATTTGCATTGAATGAAAAAAACAATTAGTGAACAACAAGAGCTATTCAAATAGGCTAAATTTTTAAAACAAATGATGCTAGCCTATGAAGACAACATCATCATCATCATTCAACTCCCCACAAAAGTTACAAATATTTACATAGTGAATGTTCAGTAAATTAACTCATTCAGTAGCAAGCAGTTCATCATGCAACTTTGTTGGATTCTACCTAGACGCATTTTCTTCATTACTCAAGCCACATGGGTTGTTACTCTATATCTGCCTTCATTCTTTCTTTTTCAAAGTATGATTACTCTCAGTCTAGGAGAAAATGAGACACTGGTTTGATTTTTAATTTTATACACCACTTTTAGTGGGGGAGGGGGGAGTAAAGGGGGGGGGGGGGGGGGGGGGGGGGTTTGTTTAAGTTCACTTGGCAAATGCAGTTGTCATGAACTGTGCGGGTTAAGATTATTATTTTAGCCCCCGACAGAAAAAACAAATCTCCATCCCTTACCGAGGAATGAACCTGGGTTTCCTATGTAGGAGCCCAGAGCTCTCTACCCTTGCGACCAGTCATTTTGCTCATCTTGGAAAGAAAGGAAAACATCACATGTGGCTGGCTCTGAAAGAGCAAAACATCCACAACCTACTACAACTGTGTCACAATGGATATAAATGTTCAACAAATGACAATTATTGCAAACAAACACAAATATAAGACATGTGCATATATATAGAGAGAGAGAGAGACCAGCAAAAATCATCACTGCCCTTTCAATGAAAGCTGAGTATTCACAAGCCGAAATGATGACACTGACTGCTACATGTCACTGATGACACTGACTGTTATATGACACTGATGACAACTAGTTGCTGCTATATTTCTCCCTGTCAATGTTGCGGCAGAAGCAGATTGCACAGATCAGGCCAATGATCTGTGAAGCAGAAAGCATCACATTTGTCAACACAGAAGACAAACGCATGCTTGCATGGGAAGACATTTCTATTTGCACTTACTTGTGGTTGACAGTGCCATAACTTGTGTGCTATGTGTGAACATGGATGACTGAGTGCCCCGTGTATGTGTGTTGTGTAATAGTGTGTGTGTGTGTCGTGTGTGAACATGGATGACTGAGTGCCCCGTGTTTGTGAGTGTTGTGTAATAGTGTGTGTGTGTCGTGTGTGAACATGGATAACTGAGTGCCCCGTGTTTGTGTGTGTTGTGTAATAGTGTGTGTGTCGTGTGTGAACATGGATGACTGAGTGCCCCGTGTTTGTGTGTGTTGTGTAATAGTGTGTGTGTGTGTGTCATGTGTGAACATGGGTGAACATGGGTGACTGAGTGTTATTGTGATACAGTCTGTGTGTGCCGTGTGTGTGATCATGGGTGACTGAGTGCGTGTGTGTTGTGTAAGTGTGTGTGTGCCAAGTGTGAACATGGGTGACTGAGTGTGAGTGTGATACAGTGTGTGAGTGCTGTGTTGCGAACATGGGTAACTGAGTGTGAGTGTGTTGTGTAAGTGTGTGTGCGTCGTGTGTGAACATGGGTGACTGAGTGTTATTGTGACAAAGTGTGTGAGTGCTGTGTGTGAACATGGGTGACTGAGTGCAAGTGTGATACAGTGTGTGAGTGCTGTGTGCGAACATCGGTGACTGAGTGCAAGTGTGTGTTTGTGTGATACAGTGTGTGAGTGCTGTGTGTGAACATGGATGACTAAGTTCAAGTGTGTGAGAACATGCGGGACTGTGTGTGTGTGTGTGTGTGAGTGTGGGCATGCGTGTGTGTGAGTGAGTGAGTGCTGGTGTGAACATTGGTGACTGAGTGAGAGTGTGTGTGGGTGCGTGAGACAGTGTCAGTGAGTGTGCTATGTGTACATGGGTGACTGAGTGCGTGTGTGTATGATAGTCTGTCTGTGTGTGTGTGCATGAGTGCGTGCGTACATCTGGTGTGTGTGTGTGTGTATGAAAGAGTGTTTGTGTGTCTTACATCTAGTGTTGGCACCTAATACTGATGCTTTCAAACCTGATGTCCAAACCATTTGATCTTCTCCTTCTCAGTGTATTTGGCAAAAGGGGTTCTTACAATTTGACAGTATCTTTTCTCGTTCGGTCTTAGATGGTCAAGTCGGCTCTGTGGCTAAGTCGATGTAAACGCTTCGTAATGCGGGGGTGCCGGGTTCGATCCCAGCTGTGGGCCATGCGCCTTGCGTTGGTTTCGACAGTGGTATCAGGGAGCCAAACGTCCAGAAAGCAATGGCAAACTACTGGTACTGGTACTGGTGTTGGTAAAAAAAACGAAAAACTTCTTGCTTCTTTCAACCGGCTCCTAGAATGAGCGTTGGTTATATCGAAGCGGCGTTTTGTTGTCTGGAGTTTTGTTCTCCAGTTATAGTCGTTTCTGTTGTGGCGATTTACATTTCTGCCTGAGGTTAGTTGCTTCTGTCAGAGTTAGGTAGGTGGGTGTGGCTTGGGCGGCGGACATGTGTCATCTGGTTGTGGGCTGTGAGGTTTCTCAGGGCTGGTGGGCGTGGTTGTTCAGCTGTCATGGTGGCTTGTGAGGTTTTCATTGCATGTAGGCTTTCAACTTGCTACTTCACGTGGGCGTCGTTTCCGTTTGAGTGGGCTGCTATCTTCGTTTTGTTGTTTCTTATGCTTTCGAGTTGAAGATGCCGGGTGGCCTCTTTGAGTTGCTTCACCTCCTTGTTTATTGCTGCGAAATCCCCTTTCAGGCATTCCTTGAGGATGTATAGGTCTTGTGTGCACTTCTTCTCTAGATCTCCGGGTTTCACGTGTGCGTCGTGGATCTGCCTTTTTCTGTCTTTTTCTTTCTTCGCGTTTTCTCTGGCTTCTATCACTCTGTGCGTGGCTTCGATTACACAGCTGAGTTTGTCGCATTCTTTGTTTGCCTCGGTTACCTCTGCTTTTGTTTTTGTCAGGTCTTTCTTGATGGTGGCTATCTCGGAAAGTATACTTTTCTGGTTGTCTTTCAGTTCTTTGGCGGTTACTGCATTTGTTTCCTTTAACTTCTTGAGGTCGGTTAGATTTGCCATCAATTCTGTTTTGAACTTTGCCATTTCTGTATTTTCCTCCTCGAGTCTCCTTTGGGTCTCGAGGGATGCCTGCAGGATGCTTCTCAGGTCTATCATCTCGTCCCTGTCTTGAGTCCTGAGTGCCACGATTCTTGCGTTCTCTTCTCGCAGGGATTTGATTTCGTCTCTCAGCTGAGTAATGTCGTTGTTGTTCACAGCTGTCGGACTGGGCGCCTGATATCTTTGTTTCGGCTCTGGGTTGTGTGTGGTCCTGGTGGTGGTATTCGCCATCGCTCTCTTGACTTCTTTCAGGTACGGGCAACCCATGTACCTGGCG